AAGTACAGTGCATATTTAATTAGGAAAAATCATAAATGAATAAATAATGTATAATAAATAATAAGTAATATAAATAAAACATATTTTAAAATAATCTTGATAAAAATATTATTTACGGAATTATTATTAGTAATCATTAAATTGAAGTAATTAAATTAATTTAATCAAATTCTAATTATTAATAAACAAAAATAAATTAGTAAATAAATTGTGAGTATATAATAAAATTATGTTTTGATAATATATAAAAATTATATATAATATTGCACAAGTGTGTACAGTGAATAATTAGTAAAACATCATAAATAAATTATTATATAATAAATAATAAAACAAAAAAATTAATTAGTAAAACACCATAAATACATTTATAATAAATAATTAATAAGTAATAAAACAAAAAAAATATTTTAAAAAGATAAAATATTTTTTACAGAATTATTACTATTATTATTATTATTTAATTTAATTAAATTATCCAGATCAATAAAGGGACTAAGCCGAAAAGAAAATGAATGAATCATGAATAACAGTAGTATTCTACCTGTCAATTAATATGAAATCCCAAAATCTTGATTGGATGTTTCTTGTGCTGTTGTTTTTGTGTGTGCAGATTCAGAGAAAAGCCCTGAGCAGCAAAAGCACGAGGCAGAGATCCTGCAGGAGATGCTGGACGTGGTAGACATGAGGGATTCACTGGTGGCCTTTCTGGAGGAGAAGAGGCTGAAGGAGGTCAATGATCAATTTAATTCAAGCCTGGATGCCAAAAGACGTTCAACCACAGCCTCCCAGGTCCACTGGGAGTAAAACAACATAAAAACACACACATCTACTGGCTTAAAATACACACCACAACACCTTAATGAAGTCGTTCATCTGACAGTTACAATTCTGCCATCATTTATACACTCTCATGTCATATAAAGTCCATATAAATTCCAATATCTTCTGTAATATTATAAGAAAAATGTACTGCTAGATAATAAAGTTTGAGGTAAGAGTGAACAAAAAGTCCAAATTGTGTGTCGAGAACTTCAAAATTATTGAAAATTGCACTATATAAACTTAGAATCATGAAAAGGTTTAAAATTGCATCAAATAAATCCGCAAAATTGCTTATTTCCAACATCTCAAAAAAGCCTAATCAAGGAAAAAAAAGAGAGTAATAGATGTTATAATTCTCAGTTACAAGAACAGAACTATGAGATGTATACTATGAGAATTGCAACGTAAAAAGTCTGAATTGCAAAATATTATATATATTAAAAAAAATAGATCCTATGTCCTCAGAACAGAAGTTAAAATTGCAAGATGTGTAAAATCCTAATAAATGTCAACCAAATATAATAAAAATATGAACTATGACAAACTAAAATTTGAAATCTGAGGGGAAAAGTCAATATTGTAAAATGTAAACTTAAAATCTTGAAAACAGAGCAAAATCGTATGATGTAAAAATAAATCTAAAGTTAGTTATGAAATTAAAAGTTAGAATTATGATGTAAAAATTCTGTGTGGAACAGTCAATCCTCTCAAACCCGTCTGGGTCCAGTCCAGAACTGGACTCCTAGAACAACTAGGAGGCTTGTTAAGACTTGGTCCGCAAAAAAATGATGGTGCACCCAGGAAAGCACGTCGGTGATGGTTTTTTACAGTGCCCTAGAATCCACAGGAAGTGAGAAAATATTTTACAGACAGAAATTAATAATAATAAAAAATAGCTAATTATTATTTGTAAAAAAAAATGGACACTAAGTTCTCAGAAAAAAGGTTAAAATTGCAAGATGGGTAAAATCCTAATAAATGTCAACTTGTAATTATTATTAAAAACAAACTGTTACCTACTAAAATATTAATTCTGAGGGGAAAAGTCAAAATTTTTATATGTAAACTTATAATCTTGAAAAAAAAGAAATCTAAATTGTAAGATGTAAACATAAATCTAAAGTTAGATATGGAATAAACATTAGAATTGTGATGTAAAAAGTCTGTGCGGTATACCAGTCAATTCTCCCAAACCCGTCTGGGTCCAGTCAGACCAACTGGGAGGCTTGTTAAGGCCTGGTCCACAAAAAATAAATAAATAAATAAATGGCACACCCAGGAAAGCACTTCAGTGCAAGTGGTATTATTTCAGTGCTGTAGCATCCACTAGAGGTAAGAGAATATTTACAAGTGACAAAAATTAATAATAATAAAAAAATTTGCTAAATATTATTTATAAAAAATAGATTCTAAAGGCTTAAAAAGGATAAAATTGCAATACGTGTAAAATCCTGATAAATGTCAACTTGTAGTTGTAATTAAAAGAAAACTATTACATATTAAAGTTTGAATTCTGAGGGGAAAAGTCAGAATTGTAAGATGTGAATGTATAACCTTGAGAATAAATCAAAATTTTTTGATGTAAACATAAATCTAAAGTTAGATATGAAATTAAAAGTTAGAATTGTGATGTAAAAATTCTGTGGAACAGTCAATCCGCTCAAATCCGTCTGGGTCCAGTCAGAACAACTGGAAGGCTTGTTGCAAAAAAAATAAATAAATGATGGTGCACCCAGGAAAGCACGTCGGTGATGTTTTTTTACAGCGCCCTAAAATACACAGGAAGTGAGAAAATATCTTACAGACAGAAATGAATAATAATAAAAAATAGCTAATTATTATTTGTAAAAAAAAAAAAAAAAGATTCTTAGTGCTTAAAAAGGATAAAACTGCAAGACGTGTAAAATCCTGATAACTGTCAACTTGTTGTATTTAAAAACAAACTATCACATACTAAAGCTTGAATTCTGAGGGTAAAAGTCAAAATTGTAAGATGTAATTGTATAACCTTGAGAATAAATGAAAATTGTATAATGTAAACATAAATCTAAAGTTAGTTATGAAATTAAAAGTTAGGATTGTGATGTAAAAGGTCTGCATTGCAAAATATTATATATAAAAAAATAGATCCTAAGTCCCCAGAAAAAAGCCAAAACCTCAAAATTGCAAGATGTATACTTATAATCCTGAAAATTAACCCAAATTGTATAATGCAACCATAAATTTAAAGTTAGATAAAAAATAAGTCAGAATTGTGATGTAAAAAGTCTGAATTGCAAAATATTTTTTTTATAAAAAATTGATCCTAAGTCCTCAGAAAAAAAGGTTAAAATTGCAAGATGTGTAAAATCCTGATAAATGTCAACTTGTAGTTTTAATTATTGAATTAAAATAAAATTGCTAATTTTAGGGGATGTCCATGCAATAATATAAATGGTCAAAAAGAGGAAAACAAAACACCATAAAAACTTAACATTTATATGCAATACTTCAAAACTTCTGACATAAATGATAAAATCTCAGTTTGAACATCTTGCATCTGTTTTATCAAGGAAAAGATAGAAAATCATAACCATTTATATGAGCATGAGGGTGAATTAATGCTAGCAGAATATATATGTATATGTTAATGCTGGTCAATGATTAATCGCATCCAAAATGTCATACGAAAAAGAAAGTGTGTGCCGTGTATATTTATTCTGTATATATAAACACACACATTCAAGATCATTTGTATTTAGGTGTAAAATATAGACATACTGTATATGATACAAATTTATATAGCTATAAAAACAAAATAGAATTGTATAGTTTTATGTATGTGTGTGTGTCACATTTGCATAATAAATATACACAAATATATTATGTCAAAACAACCTTTTTTATTTGCTTAATTGCGATTAATCCTTGCCCATATATACGTATTTGTTGAACTGTCTCTTTAATTATTCATGCATATTATAATCAACCACAACAATGACTTGCAGACACACATTGCACAACTCTGTGCAGAGACTCTGCTCTCGAAAACCAAAGCGTTCAACACATCTGTGCACACATGTTTATATGGCAGATGCTACAGTCTCGCTCCGAACACGAATGTGCTTTCAAACGGAGACTCTGAAGCCTGGAAAATGTTTGGATCTTCACAGCTGTCCCAGCCTTCACTGCCCGGATTATGGCCTTTCACTAGACCAATGGCATAAAAACCCCTGACCGAACGCAGGATCTGCTTGGGCAGACGTTTGCGCACATCTGTGCCGTTTATATATTGCATCTCGCACTTTTATAATAGTTTATGGCAGGGGTCACCAAACTCGTTCCTGGAGGGCGTGTCCTGCAGATTTTAGCCCCAACCCTAATCAAACACACCTACATAAGCTAATCAAGGTCTCACTAGGTATACTTGAAACATCCAGGCAGGTGTGTTGAGGCAAGTTGGAGCTAAACCCTGCAGGGACACCGGCCCTCCAGGACCGAGATTGTTGACCCCTGGTCTGTAGAGATCACGGATGTTCTGAATATCACAGTTGCGGAAGCTTATTTCTGTCAGGAACTAATAAATAGAAAGTTTAAAGGTTAATTGAGACATTTTTCATAAGTTTTTACTTACAATTCTGAGTTTACATTTTGTAATTATGATTTTGTTTTGATTGTGTGATATAAACATTTGAATTCAGAGAAAAAAAACTGAAATAGATGTGAAAATCTTTTAAAAAAAGTCACATTTCTGACATTTTATAAACTCAGAATCGCTGGAAAGAGGAACTTAGAATTGCAGTTTTTATTAGCTGTTAATTATAAGGCTGTAATTGTCATATAAAAAATATTTCACAATGTTAAAAAGTTTGCATTGCAAACAGTTATGAGACAAAAATAGTCGCGTAAAATAATGGTTAAAATTGTCAAATGTCAAGAAATAATAAGATGTTAACTTGCAAACTTGTTATTATATTAAAAACAAACTGCTACAGTAGATACTGAAATTTGAAGTTTCTGAGTGAGAAATAGTCAAAATTGTATGATGTGAACTAATTAAGTATTCAAAATTGCACCAGAAACACTCAAAATCATGAGAAAGTTAGAAAAGTGCATCAGATAAACTCAAATTTCCTCATTTCCGACTTCTTAGAAACACAGAACCAAGAAAAAAAGAAACTGCAAAAGCTCTCAATTGTAAGACCAGAACTGTGAGATCTGAAAAAAGATTTAATTGCGATGTAAAAAGTCTGAATTGCAAAATAATATATTAAAATAAAGTTTGAAGTTCTTAAAATTGCAAGATGTGTAAAATTCTGATAAATGTCAACTTGTGATTATAATTATAAACAAACTGTTACATACTAAAATAATAATTATGTGGGCAAAGAAACTTAAAAATGAGTCAAAATTGTGAGCTTAAAATCTGGAAAATATGTCAAAACTATAGATGTAAACTTATAATCCTGAAAATAAAAGAAAATTGTTAGATGTAAACTTAGAGTCGAAGTCAAAATCGTGAGATGTAAAAGTTTTACCTTAAAAAAAAAACAAAATGGTAAAATGTAAATTTATAATCTTAAAAATAAATCAAGTGGGTAAGATTTAAACTTGTAATCTTGAAAATATTTCAAGATTGTTAGATGTGAACTTAATAATTTTTTATTTATTTTCATGATTATAAAATGTGTACTTGGAATCTGGAAAATATACCAAGATGTAAACGATGATCTTGAAAATATGTCAGAATTGTTAGATGTAAAGGTGGAATCTTTTGAATAAATCAAAATTGTAAGAAGTAAATTTATAATCTTTAAAATAAAATTTTAAGATGTAAACTTAAATAAAATCAAAATGAATAAATACGTAATTGTATAATCATGAAAATAGGTCAGCATTGTAAGATTTAAGCTTGGAATCTGGAAAACAAATCAACATTGTAAGATGCAAACTTAATTATAAATATAGTACGATATAAATTCATAATCTGGAAAATATGTCAAACTTGTACCTATTTAAACCTATAATCTGGAAAATAATACAAAATTGTAAGATATACATTTATAATCTAGAAAATAAGTTAAGTTTGTAAAATGTTTACTTGGAATCTTAAAAATAAATCCAAATTGTTAGATATAAATCTACAATCTTAAAAATAAAACTGTAAAATGTAAAATTATAATCTGGAAAATTAGTAAAAATAGTAAAATGTGAATTTATAATCTGGAAAATAAGTCAAAATTGTACACTGTAAAAAAAAAAACGTAATTTTACAGATAAATTACAGAAATGTTCTGTAAAGGGGTTGAATTACAGAAATTTACCAGAAATTTAAACTTAAGTTAATTTCTGTAATTTAATGTATGTTATTTTACAGTAAATTCCTGTAATTTAACGGCCGTTATTTAACGTTTTTTTCCGGCACCGCAGCTGCTGAAAATAAACCGTAAAATTACGGATTTATTTTTTTTTTTACAGTGTAGATGTACTGTAAGTGTATGATCTTGAAACTAAGACAAAATCCTTCAAACTTAGAATCTGGAAAAGAAGTCAAAATTGTAAAATGTAAACTTATCTCGAAAATAAATAAATAATTCTAAGATATAAATTTATAATCTCGAAAAATAAAATTTAAAACATGTCAACTTGGAATCTGGAAAAGAAGTCAAAATTAGACATGTGGGCCTAAAATCTGTAAAGTCAAAATCGTGAGATGTAAGTTTAATACCTTAAAAATAAATCAAAATGGTATGTAAACTTATAATCTTGACAATAAATGAAGATTGTAAGATGTCAATTTATAATCTTGAAAATAAAATTGTTAGATATAAACGTATAATATTGGCCATAAATGAAACTTGTAAAATGTCAATTTATAATCTTGAAAATAAATCAAAATTGTAAGATGTAAAAAAAAACAACTTATGCCTGTAAGATCAATTATAACCCAAAACAATCTTAAAGATTTCAAATAGTTGATAAAAAGTCACAATTATCTTTTTCTTTTCTTTTCTTTTTTAAAAACAAGAAAACAAGCTTCCATACAAACTCTCCTTATTAAAAAAATCTATTATATAAACGGTATTTACACATGTATGAAGTTGTACTTGACAGAAGCAACCAATATCACGTCTTAATCAGCACTTGGCATTGTATTATTATCACTATATTCCAGCTCGGCGACATTAAGAGGTTTCAGTATCACTATGGGCTTTAGTGCAATGTGTTCTCCTCATTGTAGAAGTGGATGTGTATTTTCTTACTCTTAATACTTATAACTATAACGCACATCTTTTTATTCAGATTATTATTGATTGTTTTGGTCTTTTCTGCATGGTCATGGTTTTGACTCTCAGGGTTTCATCCGCCTGCTCCGGTTTACAATGCGTTATCATTATTCGAAACAATTTATATGGTGTGTATATATATGAGTTCATTTATTTAGTTGGTACTTTTCTATGTGTTTGCTAAAGTGGTTTTCATTTTTGAGGCATTTGAGAATAATAAGTGGCATTAACTCTCGTCGGAGAGAATATTTGTGCTAGTGTTTTGGGAACTGTGGTGTATTCTGCTGTTTGCTTTTGCTCCCTGATTGTATTTCTTTTCTTCAAACATATTCACACACACACAGCTGTGGTTTCTTTTCTATGGGGACGCTAATTCACTCAATATGCTAATAAAACATCCAGCACTTTATGTTTTGCTTCTCAGTTGGGTTTTGCTGTGAAAGCTGCCTTGAATGCTTGATTTACATTAGAAACAGATTTGATGTTTAGTCTGCACGAAATTGGAGAAGAATAATGGATATTGAACGATTACCTTATTTTTTTCGGGTTTATTTATGGACAGTGAATTGTGTTATGGGACCTTGATGTCTGATCGGTTGACTTTTGATATAAACTATATATAAATAGTAATACCTTGACTTCTAGTTGATCATTTGGTATCAAAAGTGGCTTATATGAACGGTAAAGGTCTCAGCTTATTTTACCAAAATAAAATATGATAATGCACTGATTTTTAATTATTTAATTAGGACAGTAAGTTCTGACTTTGTCACTTAACATATAATAATGTACAGTGTAGAATATAAAGTCATTGTGCAGTTGGAAAAGAATGAGTATTGTGTCTGACTCCCTTGAGCTTGGAGGACTGCATCCATACATCTCTGCAATGACTCAAATCACGTATTAATAAAGTCATCTGGAATGGCAAAGAAAGCGTTCTTGCAGGACTCCCAGAGTTCATCAAGATTCTTTGAATTCATCTTCATCTTACCCCAGACATGCTCAATAATGTTTATGTCTGGTGACTGGGCTGGCCAATCCTGGAGCATTTTGACTTTCTATGCTTTCAGGAACTTTGATGTGGAGGCTGAAGTATGAGAAGGAGCGCTATCCTGCTGAAGAATTTGCCCTCTCCTGTGGTTTGTAATGTAATTGGCAGCACAGATGTCTTGATACCTCAAGCTATTGATGTTGCCATATACAGTTGAAGTCAGAATTATTAGCCCCCCTGAATTATTAGCGCCCCTGTTTATTTTTTCCCCCAATTTCTGTTTAATGGAGGGAAGATTGTTTCAGCACATTTCTAAGCATAATAGTTTTAAAAACGTATTTCTAATAACTGTTTTATTTTATCTTTGTCATGATGACAGTAAATAATATTTAACTTGATATTTTCCAAGACACTTCTATACAGCTTAAAGTGAAATTTAAAGGCTTAACTAGGTTAATAAGGTGAGCTAGGCAGGTTAGGGTAACTAGGCAAGTTAGTGAAAAACGATGGTTTGTTCTGTAGATTATCGAAGAAAAAAAAATTAGCTTAAAGGGGCTGATCATTTTGTCCCAAAAATGTTTTTTTTTTTTTTTAAATAATAACTGCTTTTATTCTAGCAGAAATGAAACACATAAGACTTTCTCCAGAAGAAAAAAATATTGTCAGACATACTGTGAAAATTTCCTTGCTCTGTTAAAAATCATTTGGGAAATATTTAAAATAGAAAAAAAAAAGGTGGGGGGGCTTATAATTCTGACTTCAACTGTATCTCGCACATCCCTAAACTGAATGTAATCCCAAACCATGACTTTTCCTTCACCAAACTTGACTGATTTCTATGAGAATCTTGGGTCCATGCAGGTTCCAGTAGGTCTTCTGCAGTATTTTTGATGATTGGGATGCAGTTCAACAGATGATTCATCAGAAAAATCGACCTTCTGCCACTTTTCCAAATGATCAACTAGAAGTTACTATTTGTTGCTCTTACAACTGGGATTGACGACAAGACTTTTGTCAGGTAGTGTATACACTACACTATTGTTATATATTATGAATATTACTATATTTTGGTTTTGGCATATCATTTTTCAATATAAATACGGTTTCATTAGAAGATTAAAAGTATGCTCTATTTGGAAAAAAAATTGCCATTTTAGATTGATTATGATAATTATATAGGGCAATGCATCAGCAAATTATATTATAAACAAATTATAAACATAGATGAATACAACTAAGTAAAGATGGAAAGGAAATAAACAGTGCTTTTTTGAGCAGTCATAGAGTATTCAGATGTATTCAGAGTAATCAAGAGTCAAAGTAATCAGTATTCAGAGTAATCAAGTAAATAATTCCTGTATTTTAAATGGAAATAATCCTTTGTATTTTTTTCATGATACAAAATAATTCAATATAAATATGAATTGTTTAAGCTAAAACATAACAATATCTCTAGAAATACTTGATGGTTCAGCCTGACATTGCAGTCAGCAGTCTTTTTAGTATTATGTAAAACAGTATGTACTTTTTGTTTTTATATATTGTGTTTCAGCTTTGGTAAGCATAACATATGTCAGGGGTGTCCAAATTCGGTCCTGGAGGGCTTGTGTACTGCAGATTTTAGCTCCAACTAGCTTCAACACACCTGCCAGGATGCTTCTAAACCAGGGGTGGGCAAACTCGGTCCTGGAGGGCCGGTGTCCTGTACAGTTTAGCTCAAACTCTAATCAAAAACACCTGCTTATTGGTTTCTTGTGATCTTGAAGACACTGGCTGTTTCTCAATATGCGTTCTTCAGCGGTCTTGCGTCCTCGTGTTCTCGTGCAACGTCATCATCAGCTGCCTAAGTTCAGTTCTACTCAAGACCGCAAGTACGGAGGACGCGTGAAACTTCCTGTATGTGATCTTGATATCGAGGATGCACTGATGCAGACTTGAGCACCGAACTCGCTCTAGAAGTCCCAGAAGTCATTGCGACTGGAGGTGGGAAGCGCAGCATTTTATTTAGATTTATTATTAAAGTTCAGAGATATCACTTATTTACCTCAGGAGTTTCCCTAAATGAAATGGTGAAAGTAAACATTACATGAATATCTTAATAAAGGAATAAACACATTTATTCACATTTAAACACAGGGTTGTTTGTTTGCTGAAATTTGTATTAAAATGTGTTTTATTTATATTGTGCAGAGTATATTTATAATGTTTTTATGCAAAGTTTATATTTCGAAGAGGGGGGAAAACAATAAATCGTTGTATGAGTGCTGTAATGTTTAAATCATTTCCATTTACAACGTGTGATGGTCACATGACCATCAGGATGAACGCAGCATCCCATTTCTCAAAGGACGCATTCTCTGCCCTCGCAGTCTCCTGAGTTCGTTCTTCCGAGGACACCTGACAAGACCGATCTCCACAAGAACAGAAGTCCGGTCTCTGCGTTCTTGGAATTGAGGAACAGCCACTGATTAGTTTGTTCAGGTGTATGTGACTAGTGTTGGAACAAAACTCTGCAGGGACACCGGCCCTCGAGGATCAAGTTTGCCCATCCCTGTTCTAGACTGCCTAGTACAGGGGTGTCCAAACTCGGTCCTGGAGGGCCAATGTCCTGAAGAGTTTAGCTCCATCTTGCTTCAACACACCTGCAGGATGTTTCTAGAAAGCCTAGTAAGAGCTTGATTAGCTAGCCCAGGTGTGTCTGATTGGGTAGGAGCTAAACATTTGCAGGACACTAGCCCTCCAGGACCGAGTTTGGACATGCCTGGCCTAGTAAGTGCCTAATTAGCTAGTTCAGGTGTGTCTAATTGGGGTTGAAACTACACTTTGCAGGACACTGGCCCTCCAGGACAGAGTCTGGACATCCTTGACATAAAGCAGCTACATTTATTACTTGACCTCGAGGTATGACCTTTAGCATAGTATACCGTGTACTATGCTATACTGCATGATAAAAGATGATGCACGTCATGGTTATGCCAAGTACAATGTGATCCTGAAATAACATCTATGTTAATCCGGGAACATCATTTTTGTTGGAAAATATAATCCTTACCTATTCCCTACCCCTAAACCCAACCGGAACTGTCAATGATTCCCAAAATCAGAGAGGAATATTATTTGGATAACAGTCATGTAGAAGTGCATTAATCTAACTGTAAGCCTAAACTTAACATAAACTGTAAACATATCCCTTAATTCTGATTGGCTGATTGCAATGTTCCAGATCAACATACAGTAGATGTTAATCCAAGAACTTGTTAAATACTTGGTGAAATCAGATTGACGTAAGATGATAAACTGCATAGTATGAACAGGATGCTAGTGTATTATTCTGCACACACACGCAGCCATTTATCTGTCATAGCATGTCTTTTTTCTCTTGCTTTTCTTTGTTTTGGGGCTGTCAAGAACAGTTTTTAAAAGGTTCATCCCACCACTAGAGGGCCTCCTAGATCAATTTTAAAAGGAGATTAATAAGAATCACGGTCTGATTTTTGCTTGTTTTTTTTTTATTGTTGGGTAATAATTATGCAATGCAATATATTGTCAGTATTATTGGTGATCACTAATTGTCCTTTTAAGTTAGTAAATATCTAATAATACGTAGTCATTTTCTCCTTTTTATTTACTTTGTTATATTGTACTATTTTTGAAGTCAGAGCAAGTGGTGATCACTAATTGTCCTTTTAAATAAGTAAATATTTTAAAATGCATGGTTATTTTTCTCCATTTTATTTACTTAGTTGTTTACTTTTAATGTTTCATATGTTTACTGTTTTACTGTATGATTAATGCGTTCATGTTTATTAACTATTCTACCATTTATTTTTGTGTTTTTTCCCATATTTTTATTTTAAATTTTATTACTCAAATATATTTTAAGTATATGTGTATGTATTTACATGTGTCTGTGTGTTGTTTTTATTTTATATTTATTAATTTATGTTTTATTAGCTTTTATACATTTCATATTTTAATGTTTTAATACCATTTATATTTTTTATTTTATTAATTTATTTCATTTTAATTAATATTTTATTTTACATTCTAATTTATGAAATAATTTGTTATTAATTATTATCTATGACTAAATTATTATATAACAATATTTACATTTATTTAATTTAGATTTTATGTGCCAATTATATGCAAATTATTATTATTAGTCTTTGTCTAGATCAAAAATTATTCCAAGATTCATTTTTTGAGATTTTAATGTTCTTGCAGCAAGGGAACAATACAAAAGAAAAACAAGAGCTTCCATTCTGGTTGCTTAAAGGGCAGTCCTTTGAGGCCAGTTTATATTCAGGCATACAAACAGATGATGAAGCAGTGTCTTTAATCATTGGTCTAAACAGTTTGTTTGGTAGAATCCTATAGATCATATAATCAACCCATGATACATTCCAACCATTCAA